TGGCCCTTCTTCAGCCCCTAGTGCCAGGTGGACGTCCTTCATTTTCATTCTGTATTGACTTCCCGGCTGTGGGCTCACCAAGAAGCGTGTGCCGGCCACCGTGTGAAACAGGAAGCTGAACTGGGAGGACCTGGGCCCAATCCAGCAGCTCTTCTTAGGAAAGACTCAATGAGTCATCCTATATTACCTAAGTGAAAAGGTAATCTGCAATGATATATAACATTCTGGGCATCAGGGTGGCTGGGACAGTTCCCCTCTCTTCCGAACAGCACGGCTGCCCTTCCCAAACTGTCCAGAGCTGACCTGGTGAGTTAGCAGCCCGTCATAGAAAAAACAGTTGGTGATTATCTTTGGAGTCTGTAAACTGCAGCCCAGATTAGAGCTGCATTGGAAGGACAAAGACGCATTTCTCATGCCACGGTGATTGATGCTGGCCTAACCTCCAAAGTCACATTTGTGTCATTTGACGCACCCTATTTTTAAAACTGAGCTGCTGAGAGAAACACACTTCATTTTAAAGATAAGAAAGCCTAGCAAAATCCTTGGAGATGCTTTTTTGGAAAGCAGGCCCAAAGACGGAAGAGGCACGCCATGGTTTCTGGGTGAGAAACAGGGCTGAAGAATCCCACTCAACGCACATCTAAGTCCCTTTACTCCCGAGTAAGCCTGTGACAGCATCATCAGGAAAACAAAGTTACAGGAAGGGCAACCCATTTCTCCTTGAATGACACGGTCATCATGTATTTTTGGAATGACAGTTTCTGCCCAGTCTGGCCTCAGTCGCCTGGTATTCTTTGTAAGAGATTATATGTTTACAAGCAGAATCTCTAATTTTCCTTTGCTTGTTTATTTGTTGCATCAGTTTTGGAGCCCTCCTTTCCTTCTCTTGCCCCATCTCTTTCCTTCTCTTGCACACACACAAAATCACACACGCATATGGATCCGAAGGAGCAAAAAGCCACAACCATCTTGCATGGAGTCCAAAAATTGCTTTGCAGAACCTCCTGCTCCGTTCGCAGAACTAAATTCCTCCAGCGATCTTTAGCTGGCAGCCAAGACAATTAAAGCAGTTTTCCTATACCTTCCTATATGGGCAGAAGGAAGGTCTTGCTGCATCTTGTAAGCCACATAGGAAGGCCTCAGCGATTATAGGCGGCCTATAATACATGTAAATAAATAAATATTCTGGGAGAACTCTGGGCAATTTGAAGTTAAGCAGTGACTATTTTCGACTCTTACGGTGCAGTTTGGTGCATATGTAGCCCGAAAAGAGTCCTGCAATTCCCAGCATGATCTTTTCCCAAGTATGCATGGACGGCATCATCTGGGAAGCCGTAGGATTCATTGGAGCCCCTGCTCTGAGATCCTGCAAGCCCCTGTCCCACCCCCTTGCAGCCAGCGCACCAGCCGCCCCCCATGAGGCCATGGCCAGCCCGGGGAGCTGTGCCCTTGGCGCCCCAGCTCTTCCCGCTCCCTTCCGGTACTCAATCTGGATGGCCAGAAGTGGCTGTCGGTAGAGAGCGTGGGCAAGAGGTGCGACGGCCATGAAGACTGCCACGCCGTGCGCCTCGCATGGGTTGCTTCGGATCTTTGGCGTTCGGAAGCTTGCAGCATGGAATCAATGAATAGCAGAGAAGAAAGGGGCCAGGGGGCCACCGGTCCACACGCTGCTGCTGCAGGACACCAAGTCACACCAATCCCACTCCGAGGGCTGTCCAGACGGGTTTTGAATGTCTCCAGCGAGAGAGAGTCCACAGCTTCCCCAGGGCTGGACAGCTCTGACAATCAGGGAGTCTAGTTGAAATCTGGTTTCCTTTAACTTGAGTCTGTTATTCCGCGTCCTGCACTCTGGGATGAACGAGGTCTTGTCCTTCCTCTTTGTGGCAGCCTCCCTGGTACTTGCAGAGGGCTATCCCTTCCCCCCTCGGTCTTCTCTTCCCGAGGCTGAGCTTGCCCGGTTCTCTCAATCTTTCCTCATGATCCAGTCCTGGGTCACCCCCGGTGCCTTCCTCTGCACCCTACTAGCTTCCCTGCATCTTTTAAAAACTTAGGTGCCCAGAACTGGACACAGGACTCCAGGTGAGGTCTGTCTAGAGGAGAGTAATTCGCCCTGGGCTGAAAGGATTGTGTCCTTAAGCGTTTAACAACAAGGAACAAAATATTCCCCTCTACCATGCACCATGCTGCTGAAATGGAAGGAAGGGCTGGGAATTTTTGAATTCCAGTGCATCGTCTACTGCACCAGAGGCACCAAGGGATGGGTTTCCATGCTGCAGAAAAAGAAGTTTCTGCTAGCTTGAAGTCTGCCGATAGCTAACTCTGACTTGTGGGATTGCACTTTTGGCTACTGGTAACCACCAGGAGATGTCTCTCCATGTAGAAGAGAAGGGCCTTCTCTGTGGTGGTGCCCTGATTGTGGAATGCGCTCCCCAGAGAGGTTCGCCTGGTGCCATCACTTTATTTTTTTCGGCGTCAAGCTAAAGCCTTTTTATTTTCCCGATGTTTTAAGATCTGATTGTTTTAATTGGGGTTTTATTGCTCGCTGGAAATGTTATCAGGACACTGTGTTTTATTTCATATTGTCTTATTGTTAAACCGTCCCAAGACCACAGTGAGGAACAGTCCAGAAAGTTTAAAATAAATAAATATGTAGGACCGGAGCTCCATGGATCACATGTCTGAACACAACCACAACAGATCAGTTTGCGCTTTCCAAAATATCGTAGATGTTTATTCTTTGATTAGTCTTGTAGAAATGTTAGTCATGCTGTCAATCAATCAATCAATCAATGTTGAGTCATGGGAGAGACACTCCTCCCCCGTGTTAGTGCCCTGACCTTTTCAGCCGGACTCCGAGGCCTTTCCAACAGTTGTGCGACTGGCAAAAATTTAGCTGGCAACGGTTTTCACATGGTTTGACTGCCACGTGCATGGACAACACCTCCTCCGCCGGCTAAACTGATGCCGGTGGGGTGGGTGGGTGGGGGGAACAGCTGTGGAAGCCCTGAGACGGGGTTAGGAAAGGAACATGGAACCGTTGACTTTCGCACGGCTCCCCACGCAGCCGAACCGCAGCTGTGCAAAAGGACTCGAGACCCATTTCCTGGCATGTCTCCACTCTGGCTGCAAACCTGCTGCTAGGTAGTCCCCTGTTACTGTTAATATCAAGATTGTACTTAAAATAGGCACTTTTCCTTTCCAAAGAGCATCCGGCATTGAAGAAACAGATTGGAAAAACAAAATTACAAGCCATGTGACAAACTACAAGCGATAACTAGAAAAACAGAGCAAAAACAGCTCGCTGAAATAAATATCACACCCCTTGTGCCGTTTCGGGCTGGGGGCGGCGTGGGGGCTTCTGCACAGACTCCTGGGGGCAGGCAGACCCCTCTTCCTGCCCAAAGGCAGGCCACGCCAATGCTGCGAGGCCCCCGCCCCACAGGGCCGGTGCAGCTCGAACTTCTTGCAGTGTGGGCCCAGGAACCGAAGACTCGCTTGGAAGTGGGGTGGGAGCTGCAGCGTTGGAGGCACGTGGGATCCTTGTAGGTCAAAACGAGAGCCTTGAACTGGTCCTGGAAGAGCTCTGGGACCCCCTGGCAGTGCATCTACGTGGGAATGGAGCTGCCGTTCTTGGGTCACTCGCACACGGACCCCTGAATGCCGACGGAAGCAGGGGGCAGTGCTTCTGAAAATACTTGTAAGTTTCTGAACTGCTCTTGGAACTTTGAAAGGAGCAATTTTTAAAAACCACATGGGTTTTCGAAGTGTGCATTTGCAAAAATATGCCCTTCTATGCTTCACAGGGGGAACAGGCGCTGTTTGCAGAGCCCTTTGAAAATGCACTTTCCCATTCAAAGTGCATTGACAACTGTGCTCAAACCAATGTGGGAAACGAGGCAGGTGGGCTCGGTGTTTGGAGAATCCAGGCTGTCCCAAAACAGACGGGCATCACAGCTTGGCAGCGTGCCAGCAGACTATGCCCTTCCTGGTGCTGCCCAAAGACTAGCAGCTGTTCTCTGCCCCCATGCCAGGGCACCTTCAAGGGTGGCCCCACGGAAAATGCCTCGCAGTAGCCAGGTCTGGAGGTTTCAAGAGTGCGGCTGAGCATGCGAAGGCCTTCTCTTCCCAGAGGAGGCAGGATCTAGCGAGCAGCTGAAATCCATGGAGAGAAACCAGGCGGCCGTCAAGATGCTTTTGGACTGCACTTCCCACCACCTCAACCATTTGCTGAGCTGGCTGGTGAGGATGGGAGTTGAAGTGCATCAGCCTCTGGAGAGCCATGGGTTTCTCTCTTCTAGGTTCAGTGATTGGAAATGCTCCAAGCCACTGCCAGAACCAGTCTCTTGAAAAGCAACCCTGGTTCAAGAAGTTTCAAAATGGGGCACAAGCATTGCAGCAGTGGGATTCCATCCTTCCTGCCAGGGGATCAGGGCAAAATGCACGGGACTCGCTTTATTCTCACAACAACCCTGCAAGGAAGGTCAGGACGAGACAGCCAAGCCCGCACAGTACTTGGCAAACTTTGGATTTGAATCGAGGTCTCTCGGGCCGGTCGGCGGTCTCCGTGAGGGTCGCCCACTCGCCAGGAGGAGAAAAGCGCAGCTTTGCGCTGCTCCTGTACCTGGGCAGTGCTTTGCTCTGCAGAAATCACTGGCTGGGACTTGTGATGGCAGGCATTACACACGATCTCCTAGCCAGGACAGCAGAAGCAGCTGCTCTTAAAGGGACAGCGACGGGGGATGACTCCAAAGTTCTCTCCCAAAAGTGGATGAACTGATAAAGCTGTTTCTGGACGGTAATGCTTCAGACTGCATGTGGAAATTTCAAGGCTAAGATTTCCCACACACAGAAAGCTAGATGCAAAATGTGAAAGGATTCACGCTCTGCTCCTCACACTCTAGATTTCTAAGTGCATGGACTTTTAGCATTCACATAGGTGAACCCCCCCTACCCAAAAGACCCAGGGGGGCCACCCGAGGAAAAAAACCCCCCCCCCCCCCCGTCCGGATTGGTGCTTGCTCCAAAATGCCACATCACATCACAGGTAGATATTCTAGTTGCGGGGGACCTGCCTTTTGGCCATCCCCTTTGTGACCATTTGCTAACTAAGTTTCTGTTGTACCGTTATGCACCTTGCCAGGCTAGGCAACATGTTTGATAGTACCTTCCCATTTAAAAAAAGTGCCTTAGAAAAGTGGGGTGCTCACGCAAACCCCTCTGTTCTACCACTTCCCGTTGATGCAGCTTGAAAACACACTTCCAGTGTCTCCAAAGTTGACTGTGAACAGCCCTAAGCTGGCAACTCTACCGACAGAGCTATGCAGGCCCAGAGAGCCTAGTTAGGGTGGGACCTGTCCCAGCTAAGATGCCACTTTCTTGGTTTTCATAGCCAGGTGGTTCCTGACCTTCAGGTGGCAGTTGGGCGTGCTGTCCGTGCCAGACTGGTTGGCATCTTTCGCCGGCGTTTGCGGGCAGGCGAACTTCACGAATTTTTGCCCCGCCAAAAAGTACAGGATGGGATCCAGGCAGCTGTTGGTGCTGGCCAACGGCCGGGTGACTTTGTACGCCAGGTTGATGGCGTTGAGGGTCGGGCAGCTCAGGTCCCAGTTGCGGAAGGAGTAGTACAAGGTGCGCGTGACGTGGAAGGGCAGGAAGCAAATGATGAAGACCACCAGGACGATGACGATCATCTTGACCGACTTCTTCTTGGAGCTGGACATGCGGGTGGTGCCGCGGGTGGGCTGCAGCAGCTTGCGGGCCATCAGGCAGTAGCAGACGATGATGACCAGGAAGGGGATGACGAAGAGCAGGACCAGCATCACCGCGCTGTAGATGACGAACTGCCCGAAGAGGTCCTTGGCCGAGGTGTCGTGGCAGGTGATCTTGTCGCACCGCTGGCTGGTGGTGACGAAGAAGAGCACCGGGGACTGGCAGACGACCACCACCGCCCAGACGACCGCCGACACCCAGCGGGCGTAGCGCACCTGCCCCCACTCCAGGGACCTCAGCGGGAGGCAGACGCCCATGAAGCGGTGGATGCTGATGCAGAGCAAGAAGAGGATGCTGCAGTACAGGTTGGTGTAGAACAGGAAGCGGACGATCTTGCACAGGGCCACGCCGAACGGCCAGTTGTCCTCCATGGCGTAATAGTAGACCAGGAGCGGCAGCGACACCACGTAGAGGGTGTCCGAGACGGCCAGGTGGAACATGTAGGTGGTGGAGGCATTCCAGGTCTTGATCCTGAAGATGAAGATGTAGAGGGCCAGCAGGTTCAGGCAGAGGCCCACCACGAAGACGATGCCGTAGGAGACGGGCAGGAGGATGTACTTGAAGTCCTCGTCAAACTTGCACTTGTAGGTGTTGTCCTCGCTGCTGCAGTTGCCCACATCCAAGGGGCTGGGACTGGAGTTCAGGGACTGCAGCTGGAGGGTGACATTCGCCATAGCACTGGAAAAACCAAAAGGGAAGTCACTCGGGCGCAAGGGTGGCGAGGGGAGGTTTGGGCCAGGCCCGGGGAGGGTGGAAGCCGGGGCCCCAGTGACAGCACCCCAAGGGGAAGCGGGATGCAGTTCTCAACAGTGCAGAAGGGATGGGCGGAGAGGACCTCTCCCGCTCCATCCACAGGACCATTAGGAACAACGGGCAGCAAACCTGATTGGGGGCATGCTCAGGAGAGAGAGAAGAGCGGGTGCCCTACGTGATTGTTGATCAAAGGATTTCTAACCTGCCCTTCTCGCCGTAAGACGAACGAGGAGGACGCCAACCAAAGCAACAAATAACCCAGTACGTCACATCCTCTGATAAACCACAAGATTAGCAATAATCCACAAGATTAGCAATAAACCACAACAAGCCACACACACCCCTGCAGAAGGATTCCGAACCGTGAGCAGCGGAGCCGCGGCTAAGAATCCAGCAGCAGTGGAGAGACACCTGAAGTCTCGCATTTCCAAGTGTGCTCCGGAATGGGAAATTATCCGTTTATTCTCCCTGAAAAATCAGCATAAGAGCCCCTCCGAGGGAGAGATTTCCAAAGCCCTTCCCGGGAGGGAATTGCTCGGAAGGGCCGCCCCTGCATGAAAGCAAACGCATGGGATGCCAGGTGGGAACTTCCGCTGGTCCACCTGCAGCAGCGTGGACCAAGCTGGCTGGCCAGCAAGCCATTTTTCCTGCGGTGGAAAAAAAGATGGACTTGGGTGAGGCTTTGCAGAGGGTTGCTACTGAACCCTGGAAGTGAGCTGCTGCCGTTTTATCTCCGCTTCCCCGGGTCTGGAGGGCTGGGATAGGAGCCCTTCTGCATGAGTGATCTGCAGGCCTCGTGCCTCCGCTGGCTGGGAGCAGCCCTCTGAGCTCTCAGCCGGAAGATGCTTCCCAGTCTTGCTCCCTGAAATTGCTGCTGCGAGGGACTGGATGCAGGATCCTGCATGAGGACAGGCTGCCCCTGGGCACGCCCCTCCCCTGCATCCTTCCCAGGGGGCACCGCTATGGGGAAAGTGGCCACGGATGTAGCACACTGGCTCCATGCACACAACCACGTCCCGTGGCTCTGCGTGGTTACCATGGCTTGTGCATTTCACCCGAGAGCGAGTGGTTTCTACTCTATCGTGGTTTCCATCCTCGCCGCTCAGTCCTCTCACTATTGACATGTGTCCCATCAGCCACCGCACCTGAACTCCAATCCCAGGCTGCACTGCTCCCGGCCTGTGCACCGCCTCCTCCTGAAGCAGCTCCTGCACCTGCCGCTTGCTTATTTGGCACAGAATATAGAATATGCCGCTCTGTGTGTCTATTTGCAAATTGCGGAAGAAACACTATAATGCAATGGCACATTGCACTACACTGGGGAGTCTGTGGACAGGTGAGCTGTCCTACCTGTGGCAGGTGAACAGTTCTTGTGGTTCGCAATCTGTAAACTGGGGTTGGCCAGCCCAGCCCTGCAAAGCAAGGATTCTTCAAGCAGAGGACTGTGCTCTCTAAAAGAGGGCCACTCTGATGGCAGCCTTACTCCTACGCAGTCCATATTTTTTGCTCGTGCAAATTTTTCCAAAAAGTGTTCTGATCTGGAGAAGGGGGCCGGTGCACGCCTGAGGGACCACACGCACAAACGGGGATTGCAGGCCCACCCCATCTGCACGTGGGAGCCATCCGTTTGTGCCACTTTCAGAGAGATGCACACATTTGGAATTGGGATGCGGATGGGATGGCGAGGAAGGACTCCCCCCTCGGCACCCGTGTGCACAGGTCTCCCGCCTGCGCTTGTGAGTCGTGACTTGTGCACGAAAGCCTCATTCCTTCTCTGCCTCTGAAGGCTTTTGACGTTCTCATTTTTCTTTTGATACAAGACTGTTCATTTTGATGCAATTTCAGATTTTGCGTTTTATTGTGCAACGCAGAAGCGAAGCATAGAAATCACGCCATTTGCATCTGAAATTCCTCAGTGAAGAAAACAAGGACAAACCAAAACACACTGTTCATTTTTGCCTCATTGTTTACCAAAACTGCCCAACCAGGGCATTGCTGTGAGAGTTCTTTGTTGCTGCCTTGCATATTATACAAATAAAATGACTAAACCATCTCTCAGCTTTCTGAGAATTGCACAAGTAAAATTCCTTTATTGCATAAGCATGATTCTTTAATTGCTTGTCATCCCACCTTTTAAATTACTCTTTCCGGGTTCAGGAGGCATGCTAGCATTTTAATGATTAACCCCCAGAAGGTGCTGGCCAGCTGTCTAAAAGAATTGGACCCATAAAGCAAACAGGCATTCAGCCTGCTTTCTGGTGGTAGCCGAGGAGCCACCAAGCCAAGCCGGGTGGCCTGGCAGGCACATGACTCACGGGCCTTGCACACCATGCGCACCAAGCACCTGATGTCATGTGCTTCCAGGCAATTCTTGCATGCAATCACCCTGACTCATGGATGGAATTTTACGATGGCAGGTATGTGGATTTCGCCATCCTCCGCTTGGAAATCCTGGGCTCCATTATTATTTTCTTTTCTGTGCTGCCCAAGAGCTGACACTGTTCCTGGTGCTTCTTCCATTTTTAAGGAAAGCTGCCCAACACCTTCTCTCAATCTCGCTCAGCAATATAGTGTTGCCGTGAAAACCTGTTTCCCCTCGGCCATTGGGAGAATGGCAGAACGGGCAAGAGGCAGGGGCAGATGGGCATCTGCTCCTCCAGAGGCCTCGGGGTGTCAGCCCTGCGAACCTCAACTCCTCCACACCTCTGGCAATGGCTCCAGAGATTCGGGGGCAGTTGCCAAGGAAAGCGCAAAGCTTTCAGGCACTAACAAGGAAGCACCACAATCACAGTTGTTAAAGCTTTTGAGCTCACCGCCCACAAAACCACAGCAAGTTTGACACTTCAAAGCCTTCGACATGACATTCCTGCAGTTGTCAGACTTGTCAGGTTGGGGATTAGTTTTGCAAGGAATGAGCACGGATTGCTAGACAGCTCCTACACAAGGAGCTCTCCCATCCATGGGGGCCAGCATGTGCGAATTCACACGGGGCACATGGTTCTGAAAAGGGGCGCATGGATTGCAACTGTCTCCAGTAAAAGGATCCCAGGCGGCTTGACTGGAAAGTTAGAGAATGGCTGGAACTGTTTATTTCATCTCCAACCGAGTGTTCAGTCTAACTCAGCCTGTTTAGGTGTTTCTTCTCACATCCCATAACTTGTCTTCCCCTCCAAGATCCTTTATTTTGCCAAGAGTTGAGGCAGAAGAGGAAGCAGCCTTCTCTCCTTAATATCGGTATACCTCATTGTGGGTTTATTTAGAAATGTCCACCAATTTGACCTAGCAAATGGCAGGCGCTTGCATAATCTTAAAGAAGTGGCATAACATTGTAAACACGGTAAATCAACAGGGCATTTTGAAAAACTCAATTGCCTTTTAGGCTGAACAGCTGACAAGAGTAAACAAAAGGAGATCCTTCTGTTCTTCCTCTGCCCCTCTTCTGGAGCATGCATTTCATAGAAACATAGAAACAGAGCGAGTCAGAAGGGGCCTCCCGGGCCATCTAGTCTGACCTCCGGCACCAACCGGCTCCGCTCACGACATGCCCACCATGTGGACGTCCAGCCTGTCCTTGAACACCCGCACCGATGGGGCCTCAATGACCTGTCGTGGAAGCCCATTCCACACCCTCGGGGTCCTAACCATCAGGAAGTGCTTCCTGGCATCCAAACTGAACCTTGGCTCCCTGAGCTTGGCTCTGTTGGAGCGTGTCCTGCCTTCCTCTGCAGGAGAGAACAGGCCTCTACCCACCTCCGTGTGACATCCCCTCACACACCTGTATGTGGCCAACAGATCCCCTCTGAGTCTCCTCCAGGCTGAAGAGACCCAGTTCCCTCAGTCTCGCCTCATACGGCATCCCCTGCAAACCGGCCACCAACCTTGTGGCCCTACGCTGCACTGGCTCCAACCTGGCTATATCCTTCCTGTAACGAGGGGCCCAAAACTGAGCACAATATTCCAGTTGCGGGCGCACCAGAGTCGTGTAGAGTGGCAGTAATCCCTCTCTCGATCTGGAAGCCACACTTCTGGCTATGCAACCAAGGGTGGCGTTCGCCCTCTTGACCACCGCATCACACGGCTGGCTCATGTTCAGCCTGCAGTCAACCAGCACCCCGAGGTCCCTTTCACAAGTGCTGCTCTCCAGCCGCTTGTCCCCTAACCTGCACTTATGACACCTATTCCTATGCCCCAAGTGCAAGATCTTGCCCGTATCCACATTGAACGCCATCCTGTTGTCTCCTGCCCACTTCCATGGTCTGTCCAGTTCCTTTTGAATCTGGAGTACCTGCTCCTCATTTCCATGCATGGTTGAAGCTGTGAAGGCGTCGACCTGGTGGAGGCCAAGCGAGGTTCCCACCAAAATTAGCCTCAGACTCTAGATCCAAATCCCAGCTCAAGTGGGCGAACGTCAGCTAGTCCAGGAGGGCGCAGTCCAACGGCGGAAGCACCACTCAAAGTCTGGCTGCAACTTGGGACCAGGCTTGGGCCTGGCTTCCCCCGCATGAGCCACCTGGATCTGAAGAGCACCTCCTTGCAGAGGCATCCTGACAACCTTCTTGGGAGCTTCTTCCAGGCTCTAAAAACCTCCCTGCGAGGGAGGCCCGTTTTGTTCCCTCTCACTGTAAGACACTTAGTCCTTCAAGCAACGCCACATAGCCTCGTTTGCATTGGCCTCGTTTGCATTGGCCGGAAAAAAGTGGCCATGCGAAGGTTGGGGCAATGACAGGCTATGTAAATATTAAGACAAATGGGCCCGTTGATTGTTTTGCTCTGTTGCACTAATTTCTTCCACACCCTCACATTCATTTTATCTGACAAGCAGGTTGATGGCGCATCCAAAGGGAGCTTCAGGCAGAGAAGGCCTTTGGAATAAAACAGAACTTTTCCCGAAGGTTTTCCTTAAGGCTAAACATTTCTGGCTCCAA